TGATGTAAATTGGGACGCTCTAACACTTGTAAATTATATACAGCTAGAAGATATTCACAAAATTGCTTATTATTTTAATAAAATGCTAGATGATAAAATAGATATCACACGCAATTACTATGGTGCTCATGCTTGGACAATTACTCAAGCGCTTTCATTTGGTAGATCAGTTGAGCTTAGTCTTTGGATATATTGTAGAAAACCTGATGGTATTTGCAACATTTGTTTAGCCAACACTGGAGCACTAGGAAGAGAGATAGTTGGTAACTTAGCAGCACTTGTAGTAGAGGTTATACACCAGGCAGAAGGCTATTATTATGGACATATTGCTGCTACAATGGGTTATGTTGGTGTAAAGTATAAAATTGTAAATGCCCCTTTGTTCTACCAAGATCTTAATATTAGTGAATCTATAAGAAATATCACAATGTTTAGTGATATATCTAATTGCTGGATATACAGGTCAAGCCTTATAAGTGGTGATGCTTTAGAGTTGGGTGATTATCTGATTAATTCTAACTGTTTAGTCTCCCCAAACAGTCAATATAAATTAGCTATAGCTGGATGTAATTTGATTTTTACTTATCAGGGAAACAATGTGAAATGGAGAACATGGAATAATGGGAATGATTGTTGGTTGCATCTACAAGCTAATGGTGATTTAGTAATTAAAAATTCTAATGGAGTTAAAATATGGAGTACAAATACTCAATGTAATACTTATAATTGTAGAATATCAACAGTAGTTTCTGTAGAAGATGATGGATTTATATATATTTTCTATATGAACACAAGAAGGATAATACATCGTTTTCCATAACATGAAATTGCATATGATTTAAAGCATGCCTGAGTAAACAATAAAGGTAAAGGCATCTTTTCATCTTTGAAAAAAGATAATGGAAATTGATGCTATGGTTTTCTAGAGTAACTGAATAAGGAGAATGTTAAATAGAAAGCAACTCTACAAAAATGAATTCAATTTTCTATGCTGAATACTTTCTATCCATGTGACAAGCTTAAGCAAAAGAGGGAACAAAAGCCATGTTAAAACCAAATCATAAAGCATTTACAAACAAAATAAACATTGGCAATTTAACGTTTTTGTTGGTATTTGCATCTTGGTGTACATATCAATTAGTTTTCCCTATAAACATCAAAGCTCTTTGAGAATAGTTATATCTATTTATTAAAGAGTCTAATTACTTTGATTTATGTTTTTAATTTAAATATTTTTTAATAATAGAATTTTTAAAGTCAGCTAGGAAGCTCTAACACTTTACAATTATATAGAGACAACAGATATTGATACAATTGTATGTACTTATGGCAGCTAAAATGTGATTGTGCATGGGAGCATTATATATTTACATATGTGCAGATATTTTTTTTTTTTTGTTTTGAGTTGTATGCAAAAATATTATGCACAAAATCATGTTTTGATTGCTATAAAAGCTATTAAAACGTGATTATGTGCATAATATGTTTTACATGGGACATGCTATGTATGCATGGGGCATGACCTGCAAGACTACCATGTCATCCTAAACAAAGTGATATCACAAAAAAGACTTGAGAGTGGATTTTAAGCACATGATTAGGCAGTAGTGCAATGGCATTGTACCAAGAGGGATTGAAGAGGAGCTTGATGGTGGCCAGGAGTGTAGCAGGTTCTGGGAGGTTACAAATCACTTGAATGAGTATTTGTATCATAGGGAGATTTTAGTACAGCTTAAGAAGCACCAAAGGCCTGTATTGTATTTAGTGCTGCAGCAGGAACCATTAGAAGATCCTTCCTCAAATGGTGACTGAGTAAGATCTTTGTCGGCTAGACACTACTGCAAGGATGATAATTACCAGCATGATCACCACCACCAACATAATTGTTACCAGGAGGAGAGCTCAGATTACAGCTCAAATCATCAAAATGCCAAAGGTGGTAGTGGTTTTCATAGAGTTTACCATGAGAGCTTGAACTATAGTTTGAGTAAATGTGCCAGTGGAGCATATTAGAGGTCAACCACTTGATAAGTTATGAGAACTTTGGGATCAATCTCAATCCTCTCAATCTGGGGGTTGTCAAATTGCACAAATTATTTCATTTGAGAGCATCCAAACTTCCAGCCACTGCTCTAGACTTTGAGGATAATGAGTCTCATATAGGTAGTATTGTTGGTTTTTGTTTTATCTCAATTGCTTACTGCACTTGCAAATATGTAGCAACAGAAAAGAGAGCTTTGTCTGGAGGCCCCAATTGATCAAACTGTGTGGCTTGCCAGCTCTTGTGAGACTCAAGAATGCCAAAGTTCAAGCATTTCTCCATGAAGGAGCATAAGACATCTAGTGAAGACTTTCTCAATTATTCTACTTCACACATGTTTATCAAGAGTGCTGGATTATAAAATTCAAAAGAGCCCAAAGCTTGAGTCTATTGTAGGTTTTACCACCCTTATTACTTTCTGTGTTTGCAAAGCATTGATTCTCTTTGCTTTTCAGATGGATTGGGTGGTGCTACCAGTAAGAAGGTAGTTGTCTGGCAAGGGAAGATTAACCATATAGCTAAGTTAGTTGTAATGTTCCATTTTCTTTTCTATTAAAAATGCACTAAATAGTCTTATCAAGGTTTGTTGAGATGCAAAAAGTCTAGAATAGAAATCATTTATTGCAAGTTACAAGTGGAAAGTGCAAGATGCAAAACTTTCACTACATGTTTGTGAATATTCATGCATGCACCATCTAGAGTAAGGTAGATTGCATTTTTTTTTGTTTTCTTACTCAACATTTTATTTGTAAATTTGTATAAAAATGTATTTATTGATTATATCAAAGATTTGTAAGCTTATACCTCCTAAATTTGGACTTTTTAGGAGCACAATACTAAGGATGTTTAACCTTAAATATCCTAAAACCCTTAATTGATTGAAAAGGGAAATGCACTTTTATTCATAAGCTCTTTCCTTCTATATTTAAACTCCCACACAACTCAAATCATTCTTGTAAGCAACAAAAAAGAACAATTTATGAGAAAATTTATTAGAGATTCATGACCTCCTCTTGCATGATTCTAATAAAGATGCTATCCATAATAACATAACTGATGAAGAATCCCTCCACAATGAAGTCACATGATTTATGAGTGAGATTCTTATCAATTTTAGCTTCAATTAGAGAGAAAGAATGTTTCTTATCAAATTAAGTTGCCATCACTTGAACTCCTATTAGTATGATGCCATTATTCATTAGAGAGAAGATTGATAAAGATCTTTTCATTCTTTTTATTTTTTGATTTTTTTTTCATTTATCTCATTGAGGATAGATTTTGAGCATGCAATGGGTAATGATGCAATAGTGTCATGGAGTGTCTAGGAGCTCAATTGACTGATGAAGGGATGTTTCTACCAAGAATAAACTCTTTTAAGTGGTGATCCTACCTAATGTACACCAATTAATCAAGACTTTAGAATTTGTAAAAAAGTTAAGCTTCCTGAGCTACCCACCTAACAATGTGCAAGGATCAATCTTCCTCATGAGTGAAATTGAGGTGAGATTGAACTCCTTGACACCAAAGTTTAAACTATGGCAAAATAGCTTAATGTGGATTATAACATATCGAGTGGCACTAATGTGGCATGCATGCCAATATATATATAAATATATGCTTAAAAAAAAATTGTGTCTAAATATTATTTTGTAAGTCATACACATGAAGGGAGGTGTGGGCAACTTAACAAAAACTTGTGCAAACTTATAGGGAAGTGTATTCCCCCCCAAAACTGCCATCACAAATTACTTGTTATATATATTTTCAATAAAATGTTACATGATAAAAAAGTAAGCATATACAAATACATGTTTTAGTTAGACAAATTATAAAAACAGTAGAATAGTTAAGCTTAGCACTTGGATATATAGCAAGAAATCTGGTGGCATTTGTAATGTTGTTTTAAGTGGAAGGTGGGAATTATGGATATTTTACTGCTACTATAGATTATATTGGTGTAAAATAAAAATTATTGAATGCTAAAAGGTATTAATACTATAAAAAAAATTCATAATGCTTAATGATATATTTACTGTGCTTACTCAATCTAACTCTCTAGTCTCTCCATGCAATCAACATAGATTAACTATTACTGAATGTAATCTAATTTCTACTTATATAGGAAACTCTATTTTATGGAGAACATGGAACAATGGGACTCAATCTGAAATTTGGTAATTAAAACTGCTGAAATAGTTAAATACTCAATGTAATATTTATAATTGTAGAATCACAACAGCAGCTTCTGTAGGAGATGATGGGTTTATATACATTATATATGAACTCAAGTAAAACCGAAAAAATACAGGTAAAAGGCATTTGATTTTGATTTATTCATCTTTGTAGAGTTGCCTTCCAATTAACACTCTCCTTATTTCACTTGTTCCAGCTCCAATCTCATATAGTTTTGCATCTCTCAACAGCCTTCCAGTGGGATACTCGTTTACATAGCCATTCCCACCTAGGCACTGGATAGCCTGGACATGATCCGAGAGTTAGGTAAAAAGTAGAATTATGAAAGAGCTTGCCTGCAAAGCCATTTGAGTTGCGTTCTCTGATGAAAAAAGAATAGCTGCAGCACAATCCTGTAGACAAGGCGCTTTAGTCTAGAAATTCACAGCATTTTGTAAGTTGAATCTCACCTTTCTATCTATGTGACCAGCATCACAGCTTCGAGCAACAGAATGAACTAGAGCCCTGTTGAGACCAAATCGTAGGCAATTCAGAAAACAAATGCTGGCAAATCAACATTCTACCTGGAAGCTTGCATCTTAGTGTACATATCAGCTAGCTTTCCCTGTAAGCATCAAAGCTCTTGAAAGGTGCGTATGAGCAAGGAGAAAAATGACAGAGTTACCTGTATAAGTTGAAACTCTCCTATCGGCTTTCCAAATTGTTCCCTTTGTCGCACATAGGGAAGAACCACGTCCATGCAAGCTTGCATGAGACCCAAAGGACCAGATGCCAATACAAGCCTCTCCAAATCCAGCCCAGACATCATCACATAAACACCTGTTGATACGCTGCTAGTAACAAGTTCAATCTTGAAACCCAGCAAACTCACCTTTTCCTTCCTGACCAAGAATGTTCTCCGGAGGCACAAAGCAGTCCTGAAACACCAACTCGCACCTAAATAAAAATGTTAGGACATGTGTTCCTACAATGTAAAAGATTGACAACCTACGTATCACTTCCACGCATTCCAAGTTTGTCTAGCTTTTGAGCGGTCGTGAATCTGGAAGGAGTCAATTGTTAGACTGGCAGCAACATACAGCACTAAACCTCACCCTTCCATTCCCTTTTCAATAATGAATGCCGTTATTCCGTGAGCTCCCGCACTATTGTCAGTCTTAGCATATACAATCTGGTAAGTCACACATTAGTAAAACGAAGGCCTAAAGGAAGAAAAGACGCACCAGAGTGTTAGCAACAGGTCCATTTGTGCACCACATTTTGTTTCCATTTAGAACATATCCCTTGTCCCGACGCTCAGCTTTGCATTTCATGCTCACCACATCAGAACCAGCTGCAAATAAAGGTCAATACCATGCCTCCTTATAATCCAGCGAAAACATAAAGAAAAAGAGATACATACAATTCGGTTCGCTCATCACCAGTGCTCCAACGTGTTCCCCGCTTATCAACTATGACACCAACAATCGTGTAAGAAAACCACTTCCAAACACGATGATAGATATGCACCTGAGGTAAGTACTTCTCCTTCTGAGCCTCGGTGCCATTCCTTACCTGTGAGAAACACGTCGATAGACAGCTTTAAGAACAAAGAAAGGTCCCGAGCAAAACATACTAAATACCAGCTGGTTGATGCAAAGGTTGGAGTGAGCACCGTATGAAAGCCCAACCGATCCGGAAGCACGACTAATCTCCTCCATAGCCAAGCAGTGGTATAAGTATCCCAAACCAAGCCCCCCATACTTCTCTGACATTAAACTCTGGAATTGACAAGGAAGAAGAAAAAAACTGTAAGTGCTATCTATACTCACCAGGAGCAGTGATTCCGTGCAAGTTGAAGTCTCCCATCAGTTTCCAGAGATTCCGATCCTGCCCACGCAAAAAGAAAATCTCAAATCCAAACACCCAAGGAAAGAAAAGAATGGAACGGGAAAATGCTGCTCAAAACAAACCTTTGGAAACGAATTCGTGGCATCGATGGTAGCAGCGTGTGGAGCGATATGCTCCGCAGCGAAGTGCTGGACGCTCTTCTTAAACTGGAGCAAGCAAGCAAGCAAGCAAGCAACTGTGTGAGAAATTCCGGCTCAGAAACGATGATCGATCAAGACCTGCGCGGCTGTTTCGTCCAGAGTAGCATCGTAGCTCTGCTGTGACGAGAAAGAAGCAGAGGATCAAACCAAACAAACCTACATGATCTCTACCTCCAACGCCGCTGTTGCCAGCGCCCGCGACTGGATCGAAAATCTCCCCGCCGCGCGAGCTATGGCTGCCGCCAACGCCATCGCCATCGCCTTCGCCTACTCTTCGTCGATCTCAAGAGAGGGAAATGGCAGAAAAACACGAACATTCCACAATTATGACGAGGATCCAGATGGACGGATAGGATCGGCCAGCAATGCCCACGTTGCTGCTGCCGTGTAAAAACTCTTGACCAATCGGAAACTAGAACTGAGAAGATTCGAACACCTTTGGAAATTTTCTCTTTTATTAACAACCCTTGAGCAACTACATTTTCTTCTAGCGCGAGTAATCGTCCTTATCGTTGACATAGTCCACCACTGACGAATCCAAGCTACACTCCTCGGCGCTGAGTGGCGATAGCTGCTTGAGCTTCCTCTTGAGGTTGTGCTTGTGCCAATCGCTCTTGTAGTGCTCGCGGAACTCCTTGGGATCGCCAATCACGGCATCGCAAGTCAAGCATCTCTTGCCCGGATCGGAGGTAGCAGCAGGAGGAGGACGTGAGTTGTTTGATCCAGTCCCTTCTGATAGCTGCGAATCCTTGAGACCCGACGTAAGAGCTTGGATCCTCTCGGCTTGATTTGCTGCCGGTTCGTCGGCTTCGTCTTCTTCATCGTCGTCTTTGTGCACGGCCATGGAAACCACGTCCAGCTTCCCGCAGCACTCTCGGATGAGCGCGTCGCACGCACGAAAATGGCCCGGCTCGACTCGACAAACCTGGGATGAAAGAGATTCAAGAGTCTCTGTCCGAGAAACCAAGAAAGATAAAAGCTCGCTCACCACAATGAAAGCTTCGTCCGCCTCATCCCGGCTCTCCATCTTCGCTTGAAAATCAGCCAGTCCCTCCAGAAGTTTCTCCCGATGCTTGGTTGACACGGAGAGCTTGAGGCGCATCAACGCTCTTGTGATCGGGAAATGCGATTGTAGCTCCCTGATAAGCTCCAAAGCCTGGCAAAACCACGAAAGTAAGAACCAAGAAACTGAAGAACATCCATCGCCGATACCTGCTTCTTCGAGGATCTGTTTGGATCAACAGCAAAGTGAACTTCACGCATGAAACGCTCGATCATACTTATCGTGAATGGCCGCTCGGTCTCTGGGTTTAGCGTCTTGTCCATGACAATCCCCGCGATATCTCGAAACTGGCTGGAGAGCTGGACCTCTCTCTCTTTCCCAGCGACTTGGAGCTCTCCTTTCTCCAGAATCTAGCGCAAGAAGAAACTTTGAACCAATTCCGATGAATCGATCGAATTCCATTACCTCGAGGCAAATCTTTTCCTCGTCCGCCGTCCCAAATGCCTCGACCAGCTCCTTGGATTTGGCCAGAATCCCCTTGGAAACATTGCAGTAGACCGTGTGCGTCTGGAGAACCTCGTCAATATCCTTCTCGCTGCCCGGACAACAAAAACCCGCGGCTCAAAACACCACACAAATGCCAGGAACTCCTCCACTTACACTCTGGATCGCCACGACAGGACCTTGTTCTTGTAGCACGCGATCTCGAATCTCTTGCCGTGCTTCTTCAATCGCACCACCGCCACATTCGTGAGGCGCTTCTGCCCCACCGGCTGCACCAGAGTCCGCGACATCGCCCAAAAACCCTAAAAATACCCTAGTTTCGAATATTCCTTAGAATTAAAGGTTTAATAGGTTTTCCAAGAAGTTGGCCAAAATTGGGGTTTAATGATGTTGGATGCATGGCAGAGAACGCTGGAAGCATGGTGGGCCGGTGTGCGAGAGCTGGGCGCGGACGCATACGAAGCGGGCAAAGTGTTGGATCTGTCGGTGCCTGTGGAGATAAAAGAGGTGAGAGGCCCAGACGAGAGAATCAAGAGGCTCCTGGTGAGGAGAGATTTCGATTCCCTGTACAGATCAGTCCTTGTTGGAAGGCCCGGGAGCTGGCTGGTTCACCTCACTGGGAATCCGGGGATTGGCAAGTCTGCCTTTCTCTGGTACTTCATCATCCGATACGCCATCGACATGGGGAAGAGACCGTTTGTGCTCGTCTATCAGTCGGGCAATTACGTTTGGAGTTTCGACTCAAACGGGGAAGTTGAGCTGACTCCCAAATCCCAGTTCCAGGCGACATCTCTCCGTCCCGCAAAGTGGCACTTGATCAATCATAAGATTGAGCCGAGCGACGCTCTGGGCAAAAGGGTGCTGGTTGCAGCATCTCCAGATCCCGCCAACGTAAAGAATGCTTATCCAGACAGACACCTCGCTATAGTCTACTTGTATCCTTGGGATAGAGACGAGTTCGACGCCTTGGTTAAGCTCTGGGAGGAGGAAGCTAGCCAGTTGGAGAAGCGAGCTAGCCAGCTCGAGATGCAGCAGTCTTGTGAGCTCCAGGGCTGCTCTTTGGAGGAAACGGACAACATGATGGAAGATGAGCTCAAGAACACTTACGAGGTTCAAGAGAGAGAAGGAGACGATGCAGACGATAAGATGATCGCAGAAAACCTGAGAGAAGAGGCAAGGCTGATCCGCATTCGCGTCGGGGTAGCAGACACTTACTACAAGTGGTTTGGTGGAGTCCCTCGTAAGCTTTGGCAGATTGAGCCGAGGCTGCTGACCGATATTGAACTGGAAAGGTTCGTGGATACGGCGCTCTTTAAGACGGATGTTCGAGCAATAGCTGCTGGAGCAGAATCTGATGATATCTCATGGATGCTGCTACACCTCAAAAGACCTCAAGCCGCTGGTTACAAGTACCTCATCGATTTTGCATCGCCGAAGATCAAGTACAAGTTCACTTCAAGCATCCCAACTGCAAACCGTCATGACCTGATCGTGTTGCTGGACTCCACAGATCCCGGACTTGGTGCTCTTGGCGGTTTCCTGTTTGAACAGGACGTTGTGGCAAAGGTTCTTCAGTCGCCCATCAGCGCTGTTCTTATGGTGAGTTGTGCTTTCTTTCCCGTTTGTCTCTGACCACCGTGTTACAGGTCGACGATAAGCATTGCACTAAATGCAATTCGCGGATGGACTGCGGGGAAGGCCCTGTCAACTGGATCGCGTGTGGCGTATGCAAAAAATGGTATCATTATCTGTGCGTCCTCGAGACAGCTCCAGTGCCGCTGAAGTGGCGATGCGCTTCATGCGAGGGAAAACCAGGTGACGAGGTCTTAACAACAACACGGAGGCTTCGACTGAGATACTATAGGGGTGATCTGAAAGAGGCTCTTTTCAATGCTGGTAAGCATATTTGATAATAGACAAGATTTTAGCTTAACATTTCTATACTGCAGGTGCCCATGCTGTTAATTACGTATGGAGGCCACTGAGGAAGAAAAATGGCAGCTACGACTTTGCCATTCTCCCTGGAACTTTGGGGCAGGCTACCACAGCTAAGTATCATCCGGTTCCGTTTGAAGCGATTAAAGGCGGACTGGCTGCCTTGGAGGCCTGGAACAAGGAATACAACAAGGAAGCCTACCCTGAGAGGTTCCTACTTTCGTTCTTCCTTTCGAGGGACAATTATCCAGATTTCGGCTACCAGAGCTATCGGAACAAGCAGCACCGCGTATCAAACAAGGGAGTGAGAGGTACTTAAGCATTGGTTTCCCTGTGGTTTTTGCCTTGTTTGTGTTTAACCGGCTGGAATGTGCAGGAATTATGCAAGCTAAGGTTCTCATACAGACTCTTGGTGATGAGCAGTCGCAGTTATGTGCAGATATTCCCGAGCCAGAAGATAGCGTAGAAAAGCTTGACGAGTTGGCGTTTGAGCCCATAGACTTCCAAGCCATGACGATGGAGCAGCTCAGGACGATGGCGCGTGAAAACGGCCTTAGTGGCTACTCTTCTATGAGGAGACAGCAACTGATGGAGAAGTTGGAGGCCCTAGTGATCGTTGACGAGGATGAAGACCTTGAGTTTGAAAGTCAGTATTATTCGCGAGTTGGTGCTCTTGTTTCTTAAGTTGTCTACTCGGCATAAGAAAAACTATGCCTCGACTCAAGCTTGGAGATTGTAGTGTTTAGGAGATTTTTCATCACCATCATTACACTTAATCACTGATTTGTGCGTAGCCTAAACCGGGTTCAATCTTAAAATCAAGAATATACTTTGATCTTATACCGTCAGTTCCAAAAAAGCGACGGACCCTATCACTCCCTATCGACGGCCAAATCCAAACTACACTATGAGGTTGCTTGAACTGTAGTGCTCGTGTAACTCTTTGGGATTGCCGACCGTGGCATCTCAAGTCAGGCATCTCTTGCCTGGATCGGAGGTAGCCTGAGCAGCAGTATGATAGCTGTGAGTCTTTTGAGACTCGACGTAAGAGCTTGGATCCTCTCGGCTTGATTTGCTGCTGGTCCGTCGGTTTCGTCTTCTTAATCGTCGTCTTTGTGCACGGGCATGGAAACCATGTAGCACAAGAAACGTCAAAAAATCAACGACTATTCCCGATGAATCGATCGAATTCCACTACCTCGAGACAAATCTTTTACTCGTTCGCCGTCCCAAATGCCTGGACCAGCACATTGCAGTATACCGTCCCTGCTCGGAAAAAACGACTCAAACACCGCCCAAATGCCAGGAATTCCTCGACTTACACTCTGGATCGCCACGACAAGACCTTGTTCTTGATCTCAAATCTCTTGCCGTGCCTCTTCAATGGCACCATTAGTGAATCGTGAGCGCTTCTGCCGACAGAGCGCGCGAAAACCTCCCCAAAACCCTAGATAAACCCGATTCGAAGCATATGCTTCCACCGTTTGAAAGTTTCAAACTCCACTGTAGTTATTGTATACAGGATAGATCAAACTGTACAGTGCTTTTGTTTCGAGTGTGGTCAATCTCTTCGCTAAGAAAGAACAATTATATGACACGAAATGGAGAAGATCATACAAACTTCCCTGTTTGATCGATCAAGGTACCAACGCGCTCTCCAGTCAAGGCTTTTACAACGTTTCCTGGCTCGCTAATGTTAAACAACATCACTGGAAACATCGCCGAAGATCATCAGTATGAAAAAGGTTTGTGATCACTTCACTCACCCGGGATGTTGTGTCGTTCGCAGTGACTCATGGCCTCGGCATCCAGCGCTGAGAGGCCCTTCATTGCCAGTTCCCGGAACGATACGTGCTCGAGGAAGTTCGAGTCGCAGTCGAAAACCCCGTCGATGTTTGCCGCTTTCAGAATGATCTCGGCTTTTACTGTGAGCATGAAAGCAATGGATCAATATACTTGGAAAAATGTATGGAAGAACTTTTGCTTACACTCGGCAGCACGAATCGCAGCAGCGGTATCGGTCGTGAAGTATGGATTCCCAGTTCCCCCACCAAAAATGACAACTCGACCTTTCTCCAAGTGACGAATGGCCTTTTTGCTAGAAAACGGCTCGGCGACCTGTGTCATGGTGTACGACGTCTGGATGCGAGCCTTGATTCCCACGCTCTCGAATGATGCCTGTAGAATAACGGCATTCATCATCGTCGCCATCATACTGTCACACCAAGAGAAAAAACAAAGAGCTCTTTTCTCAAGTTCCAAACAACCAAATAAAGCGCACCCGATGTGATCCGCAGACGCTCGATCGAGGCCACTTGTCCCGACCCAGTTAGCTCCTCGGAAAAAGTTTCCTCCACCAACAACAACAGCAACCTGTAGGAGACGTAGAAAAGAATGTTACAACAAAAGTCTAAAGCGAGAAAAGAAAGAAAAAAGATCACTCACCTCAACACCGAGACGCATCGCCGAGGCGACTTCCTTGGCAACGAGCAAAGTTATCTGCAAAACCACAAGAGCATTCCTGCAATAGGTGAATTTAATAAGCCCGCGCTTGACAGCATCAACTAAAGACCAGCCGGACGTACCTTTTGATCAACGTTCTGGACTCTATCCCCCGCGAGAGCGTCGCCACTAACTTTGAGCAGCACCCTTTGCCATCTCGGTTGCAAGATCTTGGTCTTGGTGTGGAAGCCAAGGCTGTTTGCGCATGGAGAAACAGATGGAGTCCTACCAAAACACACATACACATAATCAAAATCAAGAAAGGAGGAAAGCTGAGAGAGGAAGAAACCTGCAATTTGGTCTTCGTTGTCTCATTGCTCCTTTTTGCTTGTCAGGCTTGATCACCATGCTGGTATCGTCCTCGAGTAAGACACTGAGTTTTGGAGCGGAGCCTACTATTTGTTCCACTTTGGAAAACCATGGCCACTGGCTGGTTGTGGAACCCGTGTTCTCCATCCTCGTACGTTCTACCTTGTGCCTTTTCTTGAGAGAATCCACCTTGTTCTTACACTGCTCGATGGTTTTCATGGACTTTTGGCCCTGGCAGCGCATGCTCACCATGTTGGACACCTCCTGCCAATGCTTCCCCCGCAAATTCCCCTTGTTGAGCTGCAAGAATTTCTCCGTGTAGGCGTCCAGCAGCGCGCAAATCGCAGTGTCGCTCCATTCCTCTCGATCCTTCTTGAACGAATCGACCTGTCCGTGCTGCTGCTGCTGCTGCTGCATAGCCTTGAGCCTCTTGGACGAGGGGCCCTTGGTGTCGTCGCTGTTCTCCGGCTGATCCCTCTCGCTACCATCGCTCGACGCTCCACTCTTGTTTGGCAGACCTGAGAATTCGGCTCCTCCGGACATCTCCAGCTGCTGGCGCTTGAATCCTACGCCCATGAGGTGGTGGTGGTGGAATTGCTGCTGCTGCTGCTCGTCGTCGCTGAATTCCGTGTCGCCATTGTTCGCGACGCCCACTCCCACGACGCCAGATCCAGGCCCAGTGGCAGTGGCGGACGACGCTGGCCAATCCTTCGCGGCATCCAGCAGCAGGATCTCCTCGTCGCACGAAGACATAAGGAAAATTTTCTCACAAGCCCTAACCCTGGCTATGGCGGACGCCGTCAATAGGGCTCCGCTTGTGGGGCGCTGACGTGGGGCGATCAAGGCCGTCGGATTTAACCCCATGGGGTTTAAGGGGATATATCACTGGATATTCCGCTCTCCAAAATCCAAGCTAGGCCAATGAGGGCGGCGATGAATGGCGCCCACAAGCTCTCGCTGGAAGAGGTGAGATTTCTTCCATCGATCGTGCCCAGGCGCTGAGGGCTTCTAGATTCCCAGGCGCAAACGTCGTGGTTCGTGCGCCAGGGCGGCGATTGCTCGGCCGTTCGCATTGGGGAATCGGCATGCGGCAGGCAAGGATTGGATTGATTCTCTCGATGCGATCTTGCGGCAATCGTGGTTCGTGGCAGGGGATTGTTTGCTGCTCGGTCGATTCGCGCTGGAGAGCAGATTGTGCGAATTCCTCATGAGCTGGTAAGCAAAATAAGCTCTAGTTTTAGTTTAGCTGATAGAAACCATGGAAAGCACCAATGCAGGTGCTCACGGCCGAGAAACTAGACGATTGTGTGAAGAAGTTACTATCGACAGAGTATGATTGGTGTCCTCTGACGCTTCTCATCCTTGCGGAGCAACACAAAGGAGAGGTCTGCGATCTTTTCTCTCTATCATATAGTTCTTTGTGATCGTCTTGGTCACTCGTCTTCTTTTCACGATTCTTTTCTTATCAGGCTTCTAGATGGGCTCCATACGTTTCTTGTCTTCCATCATTTGGGGATCACCACTCTACTGTAAGATCGTCAATTTTTCTTTGCTATCTTTCCATCAGCTTTTTTTGTGTGTGTACTTTCAGATTTTCTGGGGGAAGGAGGAATTGAAATTCTTGGAGTGTACCCGTGCTTTCCGTGGAACAGCCGAGCGGCGTGAAATGATCTCGGACGAGTACAATTCAGTGAAGGATGTAACGACTGTTGCGTGTTTTTTGCGAGAACGTTCACGCAGCTAAGTGGCATGACTTCGTGCAGGTTATAAGCTCGTGTCCTCACGTATTTGGCGAAGATATCTCGCTTTTCCAGTTTGCGCATGCGTATGCTACTGGTAAGCTTTTTTCGTAGAGGTTGCTTCTTTTGCAAAGCTAGGAGTCTGGTTTTTAACGCCTTTGTTTTTCCGTTCAGTCGTTTCACGAGCTTGGAATGGTGCTCTTTCCAGCGAAATCTCCATGAGGCCTTTTGTGGACTTCTGCAACCACGATCCAGTTTCTCACGCAACGGTGTCACACGACACTTGCAAGGATGCGACAGTCGTAAGCATGAGCTTCTAATGAAAATCGAAGGCTTTAGCAACTTGCCTGACAGATTATTGCCGAGCGCGATTACACAAAAGGCGAAGAGGCGAGTGAGCAAATGCATTTTGAGTTTCATAACTTCTTACGAGATGCTTTTTTAGGTTTTTATCAGTTATGGCAAGCGCTCCAACGCTGTACTTGCAGTAGACTACGGTTTTGTGCTTCCTAACAATTTGAGTGATCAGGTAGAACTTTGGTTGTTTTCCCTTCTTAAAGCTAATGCTCCAGGCCGAGCTTTGGATGGAAATTCCATGGAACGATCCACTTCGCGAAAAAAAGCTTGAACTTATGAGGGCATTCAATATGCCAACCTTGCAGAATGCTGATGGAACGGAGAGTGGTGAATTGCCAGTCATCTTGGAGTAGTTTCAATAGTTTTCCACGTATGTTTGCTCTGACGGTTAATTCTCTAGGGAGGTTTTGGACTCAGCGGACTGGGAAGACGGGGTTGTACTCCCTCAAGCCCGTGCATTTTCGCGTATTATTTGCTTGGATTCCTTGGAAGGTTTTATTTTTCTTTCTGCATTTCTTGCAAGGTGTTCTAACCTCATAACTCTTTGCAGACATAGAATCAATGATCCAAGAATCCGATACGCTTCAAGCTCCATTAGCATACCAGCCAAGAAAGGACGTGGCGAAGGAAACCCGGGCAATGAATTTCTTGCTGGAGATGATCCAGGAAAGCATCACGTCACACGAGCAGGCATTGCTGGTAAGATCACGACTGGAAGTTTTCATATCCCAGCAGGCATTTTGTTTTGCCTTGTAGATGCTGCAGTCGGCCCCCGACCACATAAACAAAATCCGCCGAGGAATGGCTGAAGCTGTTCTTGATGGTGAGCTCCGAGTTCTAGAAAACTCTAGAGGCTGGCTCAAAGATTGTCTTCCAAATGGACAAGAGCAAGTATAGGGGAGCATGGTTTATTGATAGGCTGGAGTTGTAGATATTGATGGAAGTGTGCTTCATGTGGCATGTCCAATTTGGATAGATAGATTTTTCCTAACCTTGAATGTTAGATAACACTTCCTATTTATTATTTATTAGGGATTTAGTCCTTGCAACCTTATTTAATGCACTTATAAGATTAAACACCACTTTTTGGTGTCAACCTTATTTAATGCACTTATAAGATTAAACACCACTTTTTGGTGTTTTTGAATGTTTAGGTATCTCAAATGATGTTTTTTTTACAATAAACATTTCTTTTTATGACATTGATTCCTTATATTGTAATATAAACAATTTATCCTCCCAAATGATATATTTAACTTTTTTTTCCCAATAAAAAATTTTAGGAAGTTAACTTTCACCAATCCAATTAATTATGTCACATCTTTTGCTTAATTATTTTATAGTTGTCAAGTCCTACCACTGATTGCTAATGCTTTCATATTTTCATTAATATTTGGGTCAATGCATTTAAATTGTATACCTTATAACTTAAACTATACCAATCCCATTTTCATTGAGATTCCATTGTCAAAGGGTTTTAATGAACTAATCAACTTAACCTCAAAACAACACACTTTGGAATGTTTAATATGTCCACACTATTGTATTTATGAGCTTACTTTTACAACACTTCCTACTTCCCACTTGTGTTTAAGTCTTTGTCAAGACAATAGTAATTGTTTTTTATGCTAAATATCAGTTAACAATACAATCTAATACTCACATACAACTCTTCACCAAAGTTGTTTTCCACGACTTTAGTATAACACCTTCTACCATCAATGAAATACCCATTATTTTCATATTTGGATTTTATGACCGTCCCAGTCTTTTATAAGGTACAACACACTTTAGTCCACATATTCCTAGTAATCCTTTAGGACCATTCCTTGACTCCACCGAATCATTTAACTTTTTGGACTTATTAATCCAACAACCCATAAGGTTTAAGCTTTATGGCTCTTTTTTGGTTTCACCTTGTTAGAATACAATTTCATGTATTGATGTTCTATTCATAAGGATTATCTTTAAAAGTGTTTCTTTAACATTTGATTTTTTTTGTTCCACATAAATTACCTTTACCCCCTAGAAGAACTATCCTTCCATACGATGAAAACATTGACTCATCCTTTGAGCACACCTTTGGGTGTTTCGGCCTTTATTAAAGGTAGCTCCAACCACCATTTCAAGGACATATATCTTTATTCACATTTGACCTCTCATAATTATTAACTTTAGTCTTAAATTTATGAGCACCATCCTCAACCATATGAAGATAATTTTGTGACTCCTTTATTGTCTTGGAGTCTCTATTATTTCCTGTGATCTTATAATTACTACAACCATATTAGTCAGTTTGTTATATCAAACACTTATATGGATTATATCCTCAACTCCTTGAGGAAAGCTTTCTATTGTTCCCAAGATCCTAAAATCATTCCCTTATTAGCTCCTTTCTATCCACCACATTATTTATATGTTCATGTATGAACTAAAGTGGAGAGTCATGCCCTGTTGATATGCTACTCTTTAAGGATAGACCCATTTCTGGAACCTTTTGATGCTAATATCAAATGGTGATATACTTGACCACCAATAAAAGTTGGATTAAAGAACAACTTCGATACCAAGTTGTGAGTGACTAAATTTTCCATTCTTCTTTAATGACTTAATCACACCTTAACCACTTGAATGAGTTTACTCATGACTTCCATAAGTCTTATTCCCAACTTAGGCGTGTACTAGCCCCATAAATGACATCTATGCCACACAATTTTTGCATTTAGTCCAAGTGCTCCACATGTCCAATCTCATTATAGACACCCAAAGGTATTACTAATATATCAGTATATTATGTTAAAGCCATATTCATTTACCCTTGTTTTATTGGTAGTCCAAAACCACCCATACCATACCTTTATCTTTCAAAGGCTAGGCCATCTGTCTATGAGTGATCATCTTAGATCCACTTCTTAGCATCTTTAAAATGCTTGAAGACATAGGAAATAACCTTTCCTAATATCCTTTTTTTGGTCCCCATCAAATCCTTCTTCGTTCACAGCCATGTTTACCAATACTGCCATTGAATTAGAACCAGTAAACCCAACCATTATGTCCTATTGACCTTTTGGGCTTCCTTGTCGCATGACTACATCCTTGGTCATTATATAAGAGAATTGCTCACTTTCCTTTCCATAGTGTAGGATTTTAGGACAACATTTTGAAACATTGCGGCCTTACATAAACCTTGTGGGTACTCTCTCCACCTTCTACCTTTGGGTGCCCTAGCTATGTGGCTACAGCGAGGTTCTAATGAACCACGCCGGTCCATCTCAAGCCCATTTTGGCTTTATTTCGAATTTATTCTTAAACTCCATCTCGGACTTCTTTTTAGACTTTATCTCAAATTCCATCTTAGACTCCTTTTTGGATTCCTTCTTGGAGTCCTTTTTGATACTTCTATGTGTTATGACACTCACCATGTATTAGTCCTTCTTGTGTCCCTTTTAGAGACTCATTCACTAATTGCTTTATGCTTATTCCTTGAGTATTTTGTTTAGAGTTCCACTCCCATTCTCAACTTTCCAGAGCTTTTTATCCAAATATGTGACACTTGTTGGACTTCCATTTTGACGATTACTATGAGGCACCATTTTGGCTCCACTTTAGGGCTTAGGGATTTATGTCTTATAGATATCTCTACATTTTTTACCATGTCTTAATAAGTATTCTTAGGGATGAAATTTGCTTGATAATTTAGGGAGTGGTTCCTCAATCTAGATATGCTCACTTTATAATCCCACACATTGGGATTAGTGTTGCTACTCATAGGCCTTTGTATACCCGTCATTATCCTTACCAAAGTCTTTTTAGCTTTGTCCAATTCGGATAGATAAACTTCTTTTGTCTTTACAACCTTGGCCATTAGATAACACATTTTATCCATTTTTTCATTAGGGATTTAGTCCCTTGGGCTTTATCCAATGCCCTCATGATACCAAACACCACTTCTTGTGTGTTTTAGAGTGCTTAGGTGTCCTGATGATGGCTTTATTTGATAATGAGCATTTTCTTTTACAACATTGTTTTATTATATCGTAACATAAGCCATTTATTTCCCAAGGGATATATCTAACCTCTTTCTTATCCAACCAAAGAGTCTCAGGAAGTTAGCTCCAAGAAATTATTCTAAACCTTTTTTTAGTTGCTTTATAGTTACTATGTTTTACAACTCATTGCCAGTGCTTCCACATCTCCATCATTATTGGGTCAATACATTTGAATCACATGCCTTTCAGCTTAGGCTATGTCTATCCCATTTCTATTGGGATTCTTTTGGCAAGAGGTCAACCAACTTAACTTCAAGGCATCACACCTTGGAACATATGGTGTTCCCACACCATCAGCTATAAAAGCCTATTCACATGTCCTATTTACAAAGACCATCTTTGAAAGTGTTGCTCTGACATTTAATTATCCTTTATTTTATAGGTTATTTTTGCCCTTTAGAACTATCCTTCCATACAATGAGAACATTGACTCATCCTTTGAGCACATACTTGAATTCCTTGGGTTGTTCTAGCCTTTATTAAAGGTAGCCTTATTTCAAGGATACATGTCCTCATCCACATTTGACCTTTCACAATTATTAATTTTAGTCTCAAGTTCATGAACACCATCCTCAACTATATAAGGATAATTCTGTGACTCATTTATTGTCTCGGAGTCTTTATCTTTCTTGTGATCCCAATAATAAGTGTTTACTACAACCACATTAATTAGTTTCCTAAGTCAAACACTTATATGGATCACATCCTCAACTTTCTAAGGAAAACCTTCTACTGTTGTAAAAATCCTAAAGTCATTCCCCTTATTAGCCCCTTTCTATCGATCATATTGCCTACACATTCATGTATAAATTGAGTTATGCTCTCTTGACATACTACTCTTTGAGTATAGACCCATTTCTAGGACCTTTTGATATCAATATCAAGTGGTGATATACTTAACCACCAATAATAATCGAACTAAAAAACAGTTCTGATACTAAATTATAAGCAATTAATTTTTCCATTCTACTTTAGCCACTTAACCACACCTTTGACCATTTGGAAGATCTCACTTATGACCTCCATAAGTCCTACTCCCTACTTGGGAACTTGTTAGCCCCGTGAATGACATTTATGCCATTTAGCCTTTGCACTTGGTCTAAATGCTCCATGTATCCAATCTCATGATAGACATCCTAAAGGTACTACTAACATATTAGGCAATTACTTTAAGGTTATAAGGTATTTGGTAGACATGGTAAGTTATCATTCAATAATATTGAGGGATTAGTTTCAATACGCCACTCAATAGCTAGTGCAAGACACAATGAGACAGGAACTCCATATTGGGTTAAGTTTGCTTAACTAATAGCACGTAGGAATTTCGTCCTTATACTTGTTTGGTTTAAGTATACTCAAAATGTCCAATTAGCTCCACTAGCACAAAGGGATCCAACTGTATTGACCTCCTGCCATTATGGCAATAAGGAAAGAGTTTTTATAAAGATTGGCCAATAAATATCTTTCAATACTTGAAGTCACATTTATGACACTCTCCCCCCCTTAGGGAAGATCGACGTCCTCGTCAATGCATACATGAGTCTAGCAAACCATCAAGGAAACAACTCTGAAAGTTAGCGGAAAACACGCTATATGGGAAACACACCAACTTAAATGAGTTCTACCTCTCCTCTACATCCAAAGATGTTAAAACTTAAACACCCTTTGGCTGTCACTGATAAGAAAATGACTAACGAAGTTAATTAGTTGCTTTAAATACCACTTAACTTACAAAGGAATGATACATCCCTAGCCATAGGGACATAGGGAGAGAGTTAGAGGCCCAACTTCCCCTGAGCAAGAAATCAAGCCTATTGGAAAGATTTAGACAACTATTATAAACTGGCAGATGAAGTTATTTACAAAAGCACTCCCTTTTTTAATAATGAGTCAACGAAAGACTCATTATTTCTCTAGTTTCAACTTTATATTTAGGTTCACTGTCCACAACTTTTGGTGGCAGACAAATCTC